AGCACTGCCAGGAGTGACCAGGAATAATGGTCACAAGCTGGCAGAGGGTAGATTTAGGCTAGATATCAGGAGGCACTACTTCACGGTCAGGGTGGCTAGGATCTGGAACCAACTTCCAAGCAAAGTGGTGCTGACTCCTACCCTGGGGGTCTTTAAGAGGAGGCTAGATGTACACCTTGCTGGGGTCGTTTGACCCCAGTACTCTTTCCTGCCATGGCAGGGGGTCGGACTTGATGATCTGCTCAGGTCCCTTCCAACCCTGCCAACTATGAAATTATAACTATGAAAACAGGTGAAATACCAAGAAATCATCAGTGGGAAAAAATGTATTGTTTTCGTGATTTTCCCTCCATTACTTCCTTATTTTTTATTTTTCTTCAGCCACCTACATTCTTTCTCCTGTACCCACTGCACCCCAAGAGAAACATTTATCTCCTTTCTCTTAATTTTAACCACACTATGCCCTCAAAATTTCTGTGAGCTTTTACTTGCTGCTTTTCCATCAGAAACTGATAGAAATTGATTGAAAGGTTTTCAGAAGCTTACAGCAATCTGTGGTGGTGAAAGTGTTTGCTGTTCTTGCTATCTCAGGCAATGTGGGGAAGTTGGGGTGGATGTTAAAAGTCAGATGTTTTTCTAATGTTATCGAGACCTTATGCCTCAGTTTCTTTCCTCAATTAGACTAAAATACATGCACTATAAACATTAATATTGAGAGTAGAACTAGAAGTCAGGGGACAAGGTTCAGGAAATCTGTGAGTGTGAGCTACCAGCCCAGATTTTTCACTCCATTACAGCAGTTTTCTATAGTCAAAAACAGTAGCCAAGAACAGGCAGGAAGGCAGCAACCACCCTCAGGAGTGTTTGACCTTACAGAATCATAGAAACATCAAATCATAGCAAAGTAGGGCTGAAAGGGACTTCACGGGCATGTTTCCATGAGTGGGAATGTGCATTTCCCCGGGGACAAATAGCAGCAGCACATAGTTGTGCTGCTGCTACTTGTCTCTGGGGAGTGTCCCTGCATGTGTGCTTTGGTGCATGGCAAGTTGCCCCTGGTGGGGTAGGGGAGGCTGGGACCAGCACCTGGGCTGGAGTCCTGGGGGCCTCCCATGGCTGCAGCAGCAGTAATCCAGGTGCATGGAGCCTGACTGGCAGCTGGAGAGCAGCTCTGGCTGGCCAGGCTCAGGTTTAAGGTGGCACATACTGTAGCCACATGTACTGCCCTGCTTTTTTGTGGCATATTTTTTTTGACACTGGGAGCTCCCAGTGTAAAAAACCCCCACCACGCTGCAAATTAGCAGTACAGCAAACATGTGCATATGCGACACGTGCAGCGTGTGGTGCCACAAACGGGTTTGCGGTGCCACAAACCGTATTTCAGTCTAAGCCTCTGCTCAGTAGGGATACATTGTTCCTATTTAAGCCATCTTAGACAAACTTTTTTTCTAACTGTTGTTAGAAACTTTATGAACAACACTTCCATAAGAGGCTCAAAACATCAGTCACCCTAACTTGCAATGGGTAAAGCAGGAGGAAAACAGCACTGTTAATGTCCTGCCACTGCAAGAAAAGGAAATAGATAAGTAAAGTATCCTTTGGTCTGGTATGTTTAAATAGAGGACTTGCTGCTCTTCCCAACCAATCAGACGGCATATAGATGTAGGCTGACATACAATCAGGCTAGAAGGAGCTTACTGCTCATGTTCCTAATGGCCCTTTGTGTCCTCGAAAATCCCCTCATCTAAGTTAACAGGGTTCTCTCTGGGAAATCTTCTTTTCTGTTATACTACCTTCATATTTATTACATACACAAATCATCTAAGTAATTTTGTAAAATACTTGTGGGAAATTATTATGGGTGTAGTGGCCCTCAAGGACAAAAATGGCCTAACCATTTACAAAAATATTTGCAAATTAGTTCCAAATCTTCCCACTATTTTTCCAGTAACAAAGTCATATTAAAACTTTCTGGTAAGGGGTTAGTAGTTATTCAATTTTGTCACTATTGCACTTTTTAGTACAGTAGATGGTTGTGAGAGTACTCAGAGATTTGTCTGACGTGAAGCCTCCTGTTCATTTTAAAGAGCCTAGTAGAGACCCTGATATAAGCAGCCCTGGAAACCAAACTCCTCTTCACCTAGTCTCTCAGCTTGAACATATTAAACAACAGATGGCCAGAGACAGCATACAATTCATCAGATTTGAAGCGACAGACCTTCACGGGGTGTCAAGATCCAAGAATATTCCTTCTCGATTTTTTCATGTAAGTTTTTATGCTTCTAGTTGCACTTTGGAATTTCATGGTCCAGCTTTTATTGCTAATATATGTTTCTTCATAATGCAGGCAGCAATTTAAGCTTACAAAAAATCCTATGTTTCTCCACTCATTAATGTTCCCCAGAGATCTGGGCTTCTCTCATCACCCCAAATCATTCATTCCTCTGCCCTGAAGAAAAACAAATCTAATTAAATAAGGTTGGCAATTTCAGTTCTCTCTTTTCCCAGCAATCTCCTGCCACTGAATTATCTTTTTCACTTTCACTACAATTAAAAAGACTGTTTCATTTGACATCATTATATTGCAGGAGAGGACTCAAGAGTAAATGCTAGAAGAAACAAAAATGATTTGATGGAAATCACTTTGGGTGTGAAGAATTCTCTTTTCAGCAATCAAATCCAATAAGAAAGTAGCATAGAGAATAGCATGATGGCTTAATAAAAAATACCTGTTGTATTGATGATCCAGAAAAATAAGTCAAATTACAAAACAATGCATAGCTTTTGTGTGGATACCTGACCTGCCTTCTTTTTTAATATATTGCTTATGATATTTAATGTGGGTGGCTTATGCTGTATTTTTACTTTACTACCACTATGAATATTTCCTGCTTTACTGAGTGATCACAAAAAAGATACTGACATGACAGGAAGCTGAGCACTTTTATTTCAGGCCTCTTTTGAAGCTTAAGCTGTTTTTTCATTATTTTGCACTTATATTTTGCTACACCTTTTATCTCTGGCATTTATATACAATCTACTCTAACAGATGTCATTTGGACATTATCAGGAATAAACTTTTTTCAGTCAATTTGTTGTGCGTGAGGTGATGGGGTAATTGCACTTCTTCAAGCATTACCTCAAATTGCAAGTGCCATTCTCAGCTTATTCAAAGTCATCTTTCTATGTTATATAGCACCCCAAAAACAGTGCTTTGCATGAGAGTATAAATTCAAAGGTATCTTAAAAACATATTTAAAAATAAATTTCAGAGAAATAATATAGCTTTTAATGAATGGAGCAGAATAGTTGTTACCCTCAACAACTAATCAATATTGCATTTAGAATTAGATAAACTTGCTATGGTATTTCTTGCATGGCATGGTGTCGGCAATGGACTAAAAGCATTGTATAGGGATTTTGTAGGAGAATTCTGTGAATACTGAGGTAAGATCAGCTAATTAATGGAAAAGGAAAAAAATGTTTTAAGAATAACCACAGCATGGAGCTTGAAATCATTTGCCAGTGTTGGTAATGATTATTTGGTTAAAAAAAAATCTATTTTTAATGTCCTTTCTTGTTGCCTTTATCCCTAATTCACTCAATTTGCAGTTTTAAGTGATTCCATAGGGGTAAAGACAATAGAAAGCCAGAGCCTACCACCTTTTCAGTTAGTGATATTAAGGGTGAGTTTTGCATGGCATTCCTGCTCAAAACTTTCCGCCTTTCAGCTGGTTGCTGGTCTCCACCTCAAAGATGACTGCATTTTAATGGAGTTAATACTATAAAGATTTTGTAGCGCTCTTCCTAATGTCTTGAGAGGAAAGGTCCTATGGGCAAACACTAGAATGCTTACTCAAAATTTGCATATATTTGTAAATTATTATTGTTACTATTATGACATATAATTCAACTGTGAGAGACTCATTTATCCATTCCTAACCCCTCTGTTTAGGAAAAAGCAACCCATGGTGTTTCCATGCCTAGAGGTTATCTTGAACTGACCCTGAATCCTAAGGACAATGAAGTGGGCTATATAAGTTCAACTAGTTTTCATCGTGACATAATCCTGAGCCCTGATTTATCAACATTTAGAGTTTTACCATGGACTGAACAAACTGCTAGAGTAATCTGTGATCCCTTTACTGTACTAGGCAAACCTGTATCAACCTCACCTAGGTACATTGCCAAACAACAGCTGAGCCAACTTCAAGACTATGGCTTTTCACTGTACTCTGCCTTCACTTATGAATTTTGTATTTATGGCATTGCTGAGGTTATAAATTCAAAGACAATATCTTTTCCTGCAGCAACTTTACTAAATAACCAGGATCAGACTTTCGTTCAGGAACTCATTGAAGGAATGTATTACATTGGTGTCAACATTGAGAGCTTTTCTTCTTCTACTGGTCCTGGGCAGATGGAAATCTCTTTTCATCCAGAGTTTGGCATTGAGGCTGCAGACAGTGCCTTTGCCTTCAGAACAGGCATTAAAGAAGTTGCAAAGAAATACAACTACATTGCAAGCTTTTTTTCAGAGATAGGATTCTACAATTCAGGGATTTTGGCTCATAGTCTATGGGACATCAATGGTCAGAAGAATTACTTTTCAGGTAGCTTTGGAACTCGGGAGCTCAGTGATATTGGAAAGTATTGGCTCGCAGGACTCTTGTTGCATTCAGCAGCTCTCAGCTGCTTGCTGGCTCCTGCTGTCAGCTGCCGTAAGCGTTATTCTAAATATAGTAAGGATTCAAAAGAGACTGTGAATGCAAAATGGGCATACAATGACAACAGCAGTTCCTTTAACATCAAATGTCATGGTGGAAAAGGCATTCAGATAGAAAACAAACTAGGTTCAGCTACGGCAAATCCCTACCTGGTACTTGCTGCAACTGTTGCTGCAGGCCTGGATGGAATAAAGAGAAAACTTAGCATCCAAGATGTGTCAGAAGAGAAACAGAATACTTCTCATTTGAAAGCTTTGGCAATCCCTCTGAAACTAGAAGATGCTCTTGCTGCCCTTGAGGAAGATTTATGCATTAGGGAGGCACTGGGTGATACCTTTATCCGATATTTTGTCACCATGAAACGTTACGAGTTGGAAACTGAAGAAATAGATGCTGAAAGGAAAAAATATTTAGAATATTTTATTTAAAATGAAACAAAACTTCCTCTCTCAACTGTTGGAAAGAATTAAACTTGTAGTAGCACTGTGCAGATACCTAAAGATATATAGAAAAATACTTAGAAATTAGTAAATATTTATAAATAATTCAAGTTGTTTTCTTTTCTCTTTTCTTATCTAGTAGGTGGTGATTATTCCTTGCTATATAGGTAGCAGAATGGAGCATTGGTTTTCACAGGATATCACCAAGACCAAAACTCCAGGGTAGCAGTAACACATATACATGCCTTGAATTTCTTGGGTGATCCTCTCCTCCTTTCCTTCAAAAGCATTGTATTTGACAGTTCCTATTGTGCAGTATCAGTATCTCTTTATTGGCAGATTTATCAATTACATTGATTTGGTATACATTTTTGTTGTCCCACCTATATTACAGCTCCTGCTGGCTGTATACTAATTCAACATGTAGCCAGGCTGTTGTTTTGGGTCCCCATCCAATGGATGCATCTGCTTTTAAGTATCCTCTGTCTAAGGTGGGGTGCCTCAGCCCTTGAAGAAATACTAACCTTTGCCAACTCCCCAGTACCTTATATACACCCATTCTCAGAACTCTACTTCAGTGGTCTGCATTCATGTGTTAACTCTTCCAGAGCATTAGACAGGTATAGCATGTTGTGCACATAGACTTTGCATAGGATTCTTAGGTTATGCCATATTTATCTGAATCCAAGATAAATTTGAATTTAGAGATGACCTCCTAGTAATTAAATGCTATACATGGAAAATGATAAATTTGTTATAATTATTCATGTATAGAATCTAATTATTGGAGGATCATCTAAAATTTACACCCCTCCCCCCAAAACTGCTGCAGCAGGGAAAGTAGTGACAGGGGCCAAGCAGCAGAGAAAGCAGCAGTGTGGGGTGCAGGTAGCCTGCCTCCTGTCTCCTGGCTCCCTCAACTACTATCCTGCCACTTTCCCCCCCCACCTCCAGCCCTTCCCCCCACCACCCACTTACTCTATGTGAGAGCTCTGGCTCTGCCTCTAGCTCCAGTCTGGGGTGTGGAGCACACAGTGGCCCTGAGACTGGCCAGGCAACACCAGAGGTGGCAGGTCCAGCTGGAGCCCTGGCCCTGGCCCTGAGTTAGAGCAGGGGCTGGGGCTATAGCTGCAGCAGCTCTCCTGTTGTTGCAAAGTCTCTCCTGCACTCCCCCACCCTTTATGTTGGATGTGTAAAAATACTTTATCTTGAATTTGAGTAAATACGGCATATGAGAAATTATCTTTTAAATCTGAGAAATATAAAAATCAAGTAAAAAATAAAAAGCTGTACATGTATTTCTTTGCCTCTTTTCCCTCACTATTCCAGAACATTTTGGCAGTATGGAGCTTCTCTCTCTCTCTCTCCTCCTTCCCCCCTGCCCTTCCCAGCTACAAGTCAGCTTGTTTTGGCATTAGCTTATCAGTAAGCAGAATTCCCATTTCTCATACTGGACTATGTAAACTACTCCTCTTTTTTTTGCTTCTTATCCTACCATGTCCTGTGGGGTCTGAGAGCTACATACCCCCACTAATACTAATACCTGATTTGTTTGTTCTGCTTCTGGTAGTTTTCCACTCTCAAATTCACCAGCGTTCTGCAGAAAACTTTTGTCAAAGTTGTTTCTCCACTCAGGCAAGCTCCTTAACCACCTTTGTTCAGTGAGAGCATGCTTATTAAGGTTAACAATTCTCCATTGCTCCTGGTTTGGCAGAGATGTGATACCGTCTATCAGTAAATGCCAGATTCCATGCCTGTACAGCAATTTCGTAGCAACGATTTCATAACACCACCATAAGTCATATATTTCACATAGATTCCTCAAATCATTACTATGCACCTGCCAAATTTGGGGCAGCTCCCTCTTGATTTTGTGGTCCAGCACAGTGTCAGGCACCATTTCATGGTGAAGCATGGTGGACCCTCACACACTTCTGATTGGCCGAGAGGCCCTGGAAGTCCTGCCCCTCACCAGAGATTGACAGATGGTCCTAAACTGGGGCTTGTTAATGTGGCAATTAATGGCTTCCACAGGCCTGGTCAGGGGGTTAAACCCATGGAAGCCATTAATTGTTGTTTTATTAAGCAGCCTAAGATGCAGTTAGCGGTATCTGTGGGCTTGATCAAGCCTGTGGAAGCCATTAACCCCATTCCTAGACTGCTTGCTAAAGTGTCAGTTAATGGCTTCCATGGGCTTAATTCTTTGATCAGGCGCAGGGAAGCCATTAATTGCTGTGTTAACAAACAGTCTAGGATGCAGTTGGCTTCTGCAGGCTTAATCAAACCCGTGGAAGCCATCAACTGCATCCTAGACTGCTAAATAATGCATCAACTGATGGCTTCCATGGGCCTGATCACAAGATAATGCCTGTGGAAACCATCAGTTGATGCTTTAACAAGCAGTTTAGGATGGAGTTAATGGTTTCCATGGGCTTGACCACACAGTAGGAGGGGAGGCAGCTCCTTGCCACAGCAGGTAGGCAGGCAGGCAGTACTGGGCTAAGCATTTGCAATGCAATGCAATGGAAAAAAAAGTAAAAAAAAAACATGGTGGTTTGGCTTCTTTGCTCATGAGCCAGCCAACTGGTTCCTGGACTGAGCCTACATCAGGGACCCAGCCTCCAATTTGCTCCCTCTTCTCCATCCTTCCTTCTTCCTGTGCTTCAGGGCTCCAGGGCTTCCCACTATTTTCTGCTTTACTGCTTCCTTTTTTGTTTTCTTTTCCCCCCACTCACTCACTGATTTTGTGCCTTTTCGTGGTCCCTGCACTTTTTCAGAGACTGACCAAATTTGCAGTTTCCTTGAAAACTGTGAATTTGCAAATTTGGTAAGTCCATAATTACATAACACATGTACAATGTGACAGATTTTTCATACTGCCATACACCAAAGATACCGCTGGAGGAATGATTTTGGTTTCTTGTAACGAGCTCTGGTTGTTCAGCACCAGTAGGATGCCATGCAATTATATCACATTAACTTACTATGTTTTTCACTACTGTATTTACTCAAATAGAAGATGGCCCTGTTTATAAAACAACCCCCCAGTAATTAGATTCTATATATGGAAATTAATAAATTTGTTATCATTTTCCAGGTATAGAAACTAATTTTTGGAGGTTTGCCTTGAGTTTTTCTCCCTCCCACTCCTATAGCAGGGAAAACAAATCTGGAGGGCCAGGTAGCCCTTTTGCTCTCTGCTTCTGCCCCAAACTTTCCCCTGGCAGGACCTTCCACCCTCCTTACTGTCAGACTACTTTCCCTGAGCACATGGACATGAGGAGCAAATTTGAAAACAATAACCTTGAAATTAAACATGGATATAGCAATTGTCATAGAGTGTCTGTGCACTTAGTTTATCCAGAATTGATGTATATTACCTGTTTTTGAAACTGCTACAAGTTTTAGCACAGATACTCCATAAACACACAGTTGAGCAGCACTTTGACACCTACTTATATGTAATACAAATTATGCATGATATTAATCCAAAGACAAAGGCAATTTATATGCAGATGAGACACAGGGCAGCCAGGTCCAGCTTCACCTCAGGGAGGGTAAGGCCATGCTAATCATATGCCCCAGCTGAGGGAGAAGGGTGACAGAGGGATTCTGGTTGAATCATATACAATGTCACCAGAGTCAGTGGTGCGGGGGACTGCACTTAATGGGCATGACCGTATGTCTTATTTAGATGGGCTACACTAACCTATTCTTGCAATCAGTTCCCACAAGTATGTTTGCCCAGTGTGGCCCATGTGTTTTACAGTCATGCTCAGTATTGGCTCAGTATTTAATCAACTTCAAAACTGGTTTCCATTACTGAGCACATACTGCTTTTGGCAATGATAAAAAATGTATTTAGTGAGATTTTGTAGTATGAGAATATAAGATGTGGGGCTTTTTCCCCCTCATGCCACTTGGGGAAAAAACTCATCTTGTATTTGAGTGAATACAGTAATTTTGTTTTTATGGTTGTTATGTAGTTGGTCTTTGTATTGGATTTCACAGTTACATTTATTTACAATACATTGTGCTTGTTGGCCACATTTAAAATTTCCAAGAGACAGGCTATAATGAATATAACTTTATATAGCTTCCCTGCCACAATATTAAACATGCACGCACACACACACACAGTAAGTTGAAGCTCATTACTTTTACCACTGAATTCCCAACTTGTAGTGGAAGTCAGTTAATGGAAAATATTATTTACAAACCCAAAGTAGCTGTTATAGCACATCTTATCTAATATCTGTACACTAAGGATTTTCTAAGAGGACCACAATAGCATAAGCTATTATGGGGGAGAGGGGTGGAGAAGAGAGGCTCTACATATGAAATGATTCAACATGATTCAATGTGTTTAGTTTATTATGCTTTTTCCCCCTTGTTTGGAAACACAAGGTTCAGAAATACAGGCTGAAGCCAAAGAGTGAGACAGATATGAAATATTGAATTCTTCAGAAATGTAATGAGATGTGTTTATATATGAGAAATAAGGCACAACCTTTGCTAATCTTAAACTATTTAAGAACACAGAAGATACCTTTTCCCTAAAAGGAGTTAACTTCTTATGAACAGGTCATCAGCAAATTTTTACAAAGGCAATAGTATTAGTTGTACCTGCTTCATGCTGTTACCTGAAATTAATTCCTTATGGTAAACAGAATCATAGAATCATAGGGTTGAAAATGGGCCCAAAGGGTCATTTGGTTCACCCCTCTGAACTAACGTAGTATTTTCTGCTCCTAAACCACCCCAAACAAATATCTATTGATCCCCTTCTTGAGATCATTCAATGAAAGATATTTCAGTTTCCCTAGGCAATCTATTGTCTTACTGCTTTTAGGGTACATGCAGAAGTTACACTTACATCAACTTAACTAGGATTTGATAGATCTAAATGTGGAACTGTACATACATTCAGGGAGTTTAGATTGGCCAAAAAATGGCTGGCCCAATCTAATTCAGTTCATCTAAGGAGA